GCGTCCGCCATGCCGCGGCGCCCGCGGCCGCCCGCGGCGGTCGCCACGGCGGGCCGGCGGGTCCGGTGCTGGACAAGGAAGCGGGGAGGGCTCTCGGAGGGGGTGTGTCTGGCTCCAGGTCTGTGGTGCTTTGACTGATCTCCTGGCTTGCACTCGGCGTCACCCCAACATACTTATACTATCTGCGTGTTCCCCCCATCAGGGGCGACGCCCGCACCGAGAAATCTTATAGTTAGTATATGCGTCCTGGCGGGCGCTTTCTGGCCACACCGCTCGGGAAACGATATACTACAAGATGGGTATACTATATGTTCGGGTCTGACGCGCGCCTCCAAGGAGGACATATAGCATTAGTATGTCTCTGTGCGTCCCATACACTTGTGTCGGGCGTGCACCCCGAACGATGCGAAACAGCAGGCAGGCGTTGTCCGCATCAGGATCGGACGGATGTCTCCGCCAAGGTATGGCGAAAACAGCGATGCTCAAAGCAGGGCGCGAATCGACGTCGAAGGAGCTTGAACCGTATTCCGCCCTACGTGCGACATTGCCCGAAGTATGGCGGATGCGGAGTCGGGGTTCGACACGTCGGTTCACGGCTGCGGGTGATTGTGCGGCCGCCGTCGTGGGCCCGAGCGCTCGCGGGTCGTGTGCGCCCCGGGAGGGAGGTCGCGCAAACATACCTGACACGCTGTCGTCGGGGGCAAGTCGGCGTGTCGCTCCTTCGCTCGGTTTTGTCCGCAGGCCGGGTGCTTCTTCAGCAATGCTCAGAGCGTGACTTACCAACCCCGCTTTCGCTTCCAGGCAAGACCGAGTCGTACCACGCGCCTCCTCGTCAGGCGGCCTGACCAGTGCAGGCCGTCGTTTGGCATCGCTTGGTCTCTCTACAAGCGAGGTAGGTTTGTTTCAGGAGGGAAAAACACACAGACACAATGAATCGTCGGTCCCCAGGACAATATAGGAAACTATGGGGAGTGGGGGGGGGAAGACGAAAACCCTGAAAATATAGGAAAATATGGGGAATCTGGCTATTTGTGTGTATTTGTTTGTGTGTCCCAGTTCCCCTTCATTGCTTGCCCCCTAATAACACCACTCTCATGGGTCCTCCACGGCGGCGTGTCCTCGGTGCTTCCTTGGTGCCCCCGGTGCCGGGGCCGACCGGGCGCGAGCGGGGAGGGCCACTGACAGTTCCAGTGCGGCGGTGGCTTCAATCCTCCCTGGGAGTTTGGCTCACTTGATGATGATGATGATGATGATGATGATGATGATGATGATGATGATGATGATGATGATGATGAGGAGGAGGAGGAGGAGGAGGAGGAGGAGGAGGAGGAGGAGGAGGGAGGAGGAGGAGGAGGAGGAGGAGGAGAGGAGGGGAGGCATGAGGCAGGAGGAGGAGGAGGAGGAGGAGGAGGAGGAGGCATGAGGAGGCATGACGAGGAGGAGAGGAGGAAGGAGGAGGAGGAGGAGGAGGAGGAGGAGGAGGATGAGGAGGAGGAGGAGGATGAGGAGGAGGAGGAGGAGTTCCAGCAATGCTCGGTCCACGGCCGCTGCGAGTGCAACCCTGGCGTCGGGTGAGTGCTACCAGCGAGGCCTCCAGGGGCGGGGCATCCAGCCACAGCGGGACCCGCCACCGTAGCGCCCAACCGCGCAGTGCTCCAGCACGCCCCCTGTATGTGACCACACTGTGTTCAACCGCTGGTGGTGCAGGCAGCCTGGGACCCAGCGGAGTTACATTCGACGTAAGCTCGCTGGTAGGGCTCGGTACAGCTTTCATTGCGCTGTTGTTTAACTGGGCCCGCGCAGCTGCGTGGCGGTATCCTCGTTCCCCCTACAAGTATTCGAAGCTCGGCACTCGAAAGCACCTCCGCGGATCCCCAGTGGCACCAGCACGCTCGGGAGTAGCACGAGTGAGGGCAGCGACTCGAAACCGGGGCCGCGGCCAGCAGCACCACCGTGGCCAGCACGTCCCGGGGTAGTGCGAGCGAAGGCAGCAGCTCGAGTGTACTTGTCAGTACCGCTTCATTTATCCCATCCCCACCAGGCCATGATATCTCAGCCCCACCGTCCCTGCACCCTAGCTGGGGATGCTGCCTATATCTACATTTCGGAGGATGACTCGGCCAGTGGGGCCCAGGCCACGCCGGTGGGGATGGGGATCGGTTAAACGATGCTCGACTTTCCCCCGTTGCTTTCCCTCGGCTTGGGCGAAACGGGCTGGGCGCGCAGTCTGCGGCATGCAGCTGGTTGCGGTCCAGGTGCCGGGTGCGTGCCTCGACACATTGGCGCCGCCGGCGCAGGGGGAGGCGCCGGCCAGGAAAACCAGCCATCTGAGCAGATTCGCCCCCCCCTTGCTACCCGCCCCGCCCCTTCGTCCGACCCGATTCCCGCCCCTCTCTCGCCCGTGCGAGCGTGCACACGTGCCTTCTGCGGTTGGGCGTCTTTCGTGTAGCCGTGCTTCTGCCCTTGGGCTGGTGCCGTCCGCGGACGACTCTTGTGCACCGCACCGCGTTGGCGTGTTCCGAGGCGTCGTCGATCTTCAACCCAGGGACGGTGCGGTGCATAGTTTGCCGGCCGGGCCCTCGGAGTCAAACAGCTGTGCCCCGTACCGCGCCGGGGCCCCGTACCGCGCCGGGGCGGCCCCGGAAGGGACAAGCACGGCACCGGAAGGGACAAGCACGGCACGGTGCATGGGCGCCCCCCGGCCCGCGCCGGGGAAGCCCGGGCCGGCCTGCCGGGCACCCCCCCCCCCTCCAAATCGACCGGACCAGGCTCCCGGGGGAGGGGTTTGGGGAGGGGCGAGAATCTCACACGCCGATGATTCCCAAGGGGTCGGCGGATTCCTCTTCCTGATATTCTTGTCATTCACAACTTCCCCTTCCTATTCCATTCCCCATTCATCCCCCACACGGTGCTTGCACACTTGGGGGCTCTTACTTCTTTCGGGAGCTGGGCCTGCGGGCTGGTCTGGCGGCTCCGTGCTCGCCGTCGCCGCCCCGTCGCCGCCTCGTCGCCGCCCCGTCGCCGCCCGTCGTCCTGGCCGGCGGGCCGGTCTGGCGGCTCCGTGCTCGCCGTTGCCGCCCCGTCGCTGCCTCGTCGCCGCCCGTGGGCTGGGCCTGCTGACCAGTCTTCAGGAGGGGAAAAAACACACAGACACAATTAATCGTCGATTCCCCGACAATATGGGAAAATATGGGAAGTGGGAGGGAAGACAGAAACCCAGAAAATATGGGAAAATATGGGGGATATTTTTATTTGTGTGTATTTATTTGTGTGTCCCAGTTCCCCTTCAAGTCCGGTCGCTCCGTGCTCGCCATCGCCGCCTCGTCGCCGCCTCGCACAGGTTGCACCGTCTAGGTTTGGAGTGCTAGCAGAGTTTAGGACATATACCCCACCCTCGGGTGAACGGGCACTTCTGTTTGCACGGCAATTTGCATAGGAGTCTGTCCCGTCGTCCACCCCAAATGTGAATTCATACATCCCAGGCAGCGCGGCATCGGTTGCTCCCTTCATTCTCGGCAGAAGATATTCTGCGCGCGCATAGCAAAAGGCATAAGTTGCCAAGACGCCGTAGCAAAAAATGGGATGACGTGCACGCGCGCGCGTCGTCGCGCCCGCCTGCCGAAATCTTTCAAACACCTTGGGTTTCAGAAGGATTTCAAAATCGAGTGTCCCGGCAACATATAAAAACATATGGCTTCGCAACACAAATTTTCAACAAACAACTTGCGCTCGGGCTCTTGCGAATTCTTAAGAAAACCATATGGTCTACAGCAATTACATAACTTGCTACCAGGCGGGCCTCTCGCGCGAGCATGTCGGAATCGCTCGAACGCCCTTGCGCGCGTGCTGTCGCAAGAATCCCTTGCAAAAAACGGGACGACGTGTGCACACGCGCGTCGTCGCGCGCGCATGCCGCAATCCTTCAGCAACTCTAGGTTTCGCAAGGATTTCAAAAACGAGTGTCCTGAAAACATATTAAACCCATGGTCTTGCAATACCAGCTTGGGCCCGCTTCGGCCAGGTACCTTGGCTGCGGCCAGCTCGGTTGCCACAGTACTGTCGTCGTGCGTCGAGGTGCTTGGGCGTGGTGCTTGGGCGTGCGTCGAGGCGCTCGGTCTCGGGATGGTCGAGAAGGGGACGCCTCCGACTGACAGGGCCAGGAGGTTCGGCCTGGTCCACACATCAGCCTCAGCTCGCTCCCATGCCTCAGATGCCAGCGCTGCAAAAATCAGGAGGGGAAAAAACACACAGACACAATTAATCGTCGACTCCCAGGAAAATATGGGAAAATATAGGAAGTGGGGGGGAAGACAGAAACCCAGAAAATATGGGAAAATATGGGGAATACTTTTATTTGTGTGTATTTATTTGTGTGTCCTGGGGCCCCTTCAAAAAAGTACGGCGAGGTGCCTTCAGACCCGCCACCACCGAGACGTACGGGGACGAAAAAACGCTTCCGCACCGGCCCGTGTCTCTCCCAGACGTGGCGTGACTGGTCCGCGGCCCGAGAGGATCTGCAGCACTGCTGGGGTCAGCTGTGAAGCTTGATGCTCGGGCGTCGCTCGGGGCTGAATACACCCTAGGCGATGCTTAAGAAAACCTAAGTTTTCGTCCAGAGTCTCGATTATTCTTAAATTTCCAACGAAAAACCCAAGATTTTGATAGAAGTTCTGGATTTTATTTAATTTCTGAGACTATGAATTTCTTAACCCATGATCTCTTAAGCAGTTCGCAGGGTGTACCCTCACTCGTGCTGGCTGGCTGCGCCGCGAGCCTTTCCCTTCGCTTGCGCTTGTCGTCTGCTTGCTGCCGGCATCCTGGGCGTCTCGCGGCGCAAGCGCCTGTGTCAATTCCGCTTCGGATTCTTGAAGAGACGGAAATCGTGATACTTGAAACTAGTCGAATCAGGTAAAAATGTCCTGGAGTCTCCAGCCAAAATGGTTACAGGAGAAAGGGAGAGGGAGGGGGAGATGGAAGAAGGGCACGAGAAGGAGAGAGGAGGGAGGAGAAGTGGAGGGGCACCGGCAGGAGCAGGGGCAGAGGAGAGCGGAGGTGATAGGGGAGGAGGGTGCATGGGGGGGAGATGGGGTTCTGGCTCCCCGAGGTATGTCTAGCCAGCCTCGCCCCCCTCCGCCTCCGCCTCCTCCTCCTCCTCCTCCTCTTCCTCCTCCTCCTCCTCCTCCTCCTCCTCCCCCTCCTCCGCCTCCGCCTCCTCCTCCTCTTCCTTCTTCTTCTCCTCCTCCTCCCCTCCTCCTCCTCCTCTCCTCCTTCCTCCTCCTCCTCCTCCTCCTCCTCCTCCCTCTCCTCCTCCTCCTCCGCCTCCTCCTCCGCCTCCTCCTCCGCCCCTCTGCCCCCCCGCCCGGCAGTCTACCCCTGCCCTGGCGGCGGGCGTCAGGCCAGGGAGCACCGGGGCGGCTGTGTCGGGGACGCTCGCAGCCGGCCGGGGGGGGGCCAGGAACTGGCAGCCAGTGCCGGCGGAGCGGGAGGGGGGGAGGGGCAGGACTGGAGACCCCCCTGGCCTGGCCAGGATGTTGCGCACACCAGTCCCGAACTCAGGAAGGGCACGGCCGGGACGGGGTGCGGGTACAGTCGGGGCGCTGAAGAAGGAACCCTTGTCGCTGGGGAGGGGCTCGGTGTTCCTCGATTGCTTCACAGTTTGCCCTGGCTTTTCCTGAGGTTTCCCATGGGGAATCGAAGTTATAAGAAAAAGGGACCTCGCTCCTTATTTTATCGCTTCGCTCATTCCGCCGGCCCTGGAGCGCTTATTGGGGCCTCTTGGGGCCGTCTTGGGGGCCTCTCGGGGGCTTCTTGGGAGCGTCTTGGGGGCCCCTTGGGGCGGGAGGGGGGGTAGTCGATTGCAGCCACCCCCTCGGGACCTCGTTCCTTATGTAGGGTTCCTTAGGTCAACGCCCCGACTGCATGGCCCAGGTCGGTGTGCGGCCGGGCCCGCCCTGCCAGGATGGCCTGCTGCCCTACGCGCCGGACGCCATGCAGGTCCCGGAGCTCGCGGTGCTCAATCTGGTGAAGCCGCCGCTGCCCGCGCGCGGGCCTCGGGCTGCCCCCGCCCCCTGCTTCCCCCCCTCCCCCCTCCCTCCCTCCCCCCCCCCCCACCCTCCTCATCCTTACATCATCGTCCTCCCCTCCTCCTCCTTCCTCCTCCTCCTCCTCCTCCTCCTCCTCCTCCTCCTCCTCCTCCTCCCTCCTCCATCATCCTCCTCCACCCTTCCTCCTCCTCCTCCTCCTCCTCCTCCTCCTCCTCCTCCTCCTCCTCCTCCTCCTCCTCCTCCTCCACCCTTCCCTCCTCCTCCTCCTCCTCCTCCTCCTCCTCCTCCTCCTGCTCCTCCTCCTCCCCCTCCACCTCCTCCTCCTCCTCCTCCTCCTCCTCCTCCTCCTCCTCCTCCTCCTCCTCCTCCTCCATCATCCGCCACCCTTACTCCTATGGCTTCGGGATTTACCAGAGGCTGCCGATCCATCCTGCAATAAGCCCCCAACTCGTAGAAGACCAGCCCCTGTCGCCGTGCTCTTCTCTCCTCTCGCGCTGCCAAGGGGTCGAAGCGGGAAGGAGGGGGAGGAAGAGGAGGAAGAGGAGGAGGAGGAAGAGGAGGAGGAGGAGGAGGAGGAGGAGGAGGAGGCTCGGTTCCGTTCTGCCGTCCTCGAAGCCGCGAGTCAAGCTCGCAACTGCCGGACGGGTGTCCGTGGGCGGAGGAGGAGGAGGAGGAGGAGGAGGAGGAGGAGGAGGAGGAGGAGGAGGAGGAGGAGGAGGAGGAGGAGGAGAGGGAGGAAGAGGAGGAGGGATGAGGAGAAGTACAGGCTCGCTCGATTCGATCCGGGAATCCCCGCCAACCGAGGCTGGCGCACCGGGACGAGGTGGCCGTCGCCCTGCTCCGGTGCAACTTGCATCCTCGCTTTCCGCAAACGCCTGCCTTCTTTCGGCTCGACGTCCTCCTCCTCCCTGTCCTTGCCTTCCTTCACGTCATCCTGTTTTTCCACATCATCATAATCCTACTCTCGATGTTTGAGGCTCGAGGTTTGAGGCTCGATGTTTTTCCACATCATCATCATCATCATCATCATCATCATCATCATCATCATCATCATCATCATCATCATCATCATCATCATCATCATCATCAGCAGCAGCAGCAGCAGCATCATCATCATCATCATTCTCCTGCTCCCCTCTCGATGTTTGAGGCTCGAGGTCGTTGGATGTTTTTGGGGCTTTTTTTGACCTCCAGGGGCGCCCCCGTGGCCACGACTGGATTCGCGTTGAGAATCCCGAGCGAGCCTTCGGAGAGGAGGCCAGAGCTTGAACAGCTTGACGTGGGCACTGTCGCCTTTTCTTTTGTCGGGCCTGTCCCCCTACAGGGGGATTTTCGACGAAAAATAAAAGATACTCAAAAAATACCCCCAAGTGGTCAAAAAATATCCAAGAAATAGTCCCCAGACTATTTTTGGATTATTGTTTGATTATTTTGGGGGTATGTTTTATTTTTCGTCGAAAATCCCCCTGTAGGGGGACAGGCCCGACTTAACCTTTTCTTCAGCTTCCGAGCCTCGGAAGAACGAGAATAGCCCCGAGATGGATGGACAGGGCCTCAGAGGGTTCTAACGGGTGTAGCCCCCTTGCCGAACGGGAAGACGAGGTAGTTTGGATGAGCTGATGTTCGGAACAACCCATTCCTGAGGGCTGGTGGGAGTACAGATCTACTCGCGATGGGTAATTCAACCCAGGACCAAACACACTCCATAGCGCGTTCACGCATCGCGCGTTTCATATTTCTGGGGAACCGTATAATTAGACAAGATAGTTTACTCGAAGGCGTCAAGGGAGGCAGTTTGGATCCACAGTCCAAGCAGAAACCTTCAACGTCGACCGATTCGATTTGCACACCAATTAATGGATCTGGTTGAACACGCAGGGGTGGAGGACTTTGGCAACTTGAAAGCAATAGTGACAACGCCTAATCACTGCACTGAACATGCAGTGTATGACGCAGGCTGTTCAACCATTGTGTTTGAAAACACGTTGCCGTTGCAGATGCGTTTGCGCATGGCCACTGCTTCGAGAACTAAGCACTCTCTTTGAGTGTTGACGCATCGCGCTTACGTCCCCTAGCCCCGGAAGGTTTACCAGAGACAAAGGAGGACTCGCCCGAGCGACCACAACGTGATGGCTTCCCAGCGGATGGCAGGGGAATCCGCCGTGGGCGGGTGACGAGGAAGAGGAGAGCAGGACGACGAGGACGAGGAGGGGGAACGAAGCAGAGCGTCAAGAGGCGGGGGCCTGGCATCGCTGGGACGTGTGCACTTTTCCTCGGCCGGGATTATATATTAAGGAGCATCCTGGGGCATCCTGCGAAAAAAAAACACGCACGAAACCGAGGAAAAAACACAGGGAATGGACGTCCGAGCGACGGGGAGGGGGCGACACCTCCGGCGGCGGCTGCCCACGGCCCCTGCGGTCGCTTCGTCGGCGAGTGTCCGCGACCGCTCCACGACGGCCGCCTGCCTGCAGGGGCAGACGCGCGGCGCCTCGCGGCGTCGTGCCGTGGGCCGAGGCGCTGCCCTCCTCCACCCCACGGATTATGTCGGGCTTGTCCCCCTACACAGGGGATTTTCGACGAAAAATAAAAAATACCCCAAACATACCCCAAAAAGGTCAAGAAATATTCAAAATTTCGTATCCTGACTATTTTTGGAGTATTTTTTGACTATGTTCGGGGTATTTTTTATTTTTCGTTGAAAATCCCCCTGTAGGGGGACAGGCCCGACTTAACCCCAGGAGGGCTGCGCGGGCGCGCGCGGGTGGCCGCGCGGGAGCGCACCCTGCAGGGCGAAGGCGCGAGATGAGAGAGTGCACCCGGTCGGGGGCCTGCCCGCCTCCGTCGATGCAAATTGTTTCGGTCTCGAGGGCTCCGATTTCTCGACGCGGTGCGACTCTCTTCATTCCGGCTCTGGCTTATATTGATATCCTCGTCTTCGGGGGCGGAAAAGAGGGGGGGGATGACTAGGGGGTGTGGATATCATGGCGTGGGCCACGATATTTGCCCAGATTTCATGGCGCCTCTTCTTGTTTCATTACGTCCCTGGCCCCCCCGCTGGGCCGCGCACATGCCGCCGGTCATGATTTGCACCCCCCCCCTCTTGGGGGAGGAGGAGGAGGAGGAGGAGGAGGAGGAGGAGGAGGAGGAGGAGGAGGAGGAGGAGGAGGAGGAGGAGGAGGCCGCTCCCGACGTCTGTGCCCTGGCTCGGGCTGGCGGACGTCGGCTCTCCGCTGCCTTCCGCCCTGCCTGCCCAGCTCTGCCCACTCGATGGCCGGCTCGGTGGCCGGCTCGATTTCCCGAGCCGACCTCGGGCCATCTCTGCACAGCCGGGGCGCGAGCGGCCGGTCACCACCTGCCAAACCACCCCAAACCCAACCCGAAGGCCTCAATTCAATTTGCCCTCCAAATTCCAGTGGGGGGGGGTCGGGGAGCGTTGACAAAAACACATGGGACCCGTACCCCCCCCCCGAACTCGAAAGTCGGGTCAAAGTCGGGTCTTCGGTTTGGGTTGGGGTGGTCTGGTGGGTAGTCAGCCAGCCGCCGCAAGCGGAGGTGCCCGGGCGGAGGCGCGCCGGCAGTGGGGAGCGAGGGCCCGTGCGCGCGCGGGGCAGCTGGGCCTCCGGGGGTGCCCGCGGGCTCTTCCCACCCCGGGGCCCGCTCCCTCCCCCCCTCCTCCTTCTCCTTCGCCATGCCGGCTCTCGCCGCTTGCCCCTCCCCTTTCCTCCCCTTCCCCCTTGCCTCCCCCGCGCTCCTCCCTCCCTCCCTCCCTCCCTCCCCCCCTCCCTCCCCTCAGGGGAGCGAACAGTGACATGAACATAAAAACTCGGAGCTCCCTCCCCCCCCCCTCCTCCTTCGCCATGCCTGCTCTCGCCTCTTGCCCCTGCCCCTTTCCTCCCCGTCTCCGAGGCGGGAATTTTTGTACATGACCACCGCCTGGAGGGTCAGTTTTCGGAGCCTCGGCAGGCGGTGGTCATGTTCGGGCCCCCGGGGGCCGAACTATATCCATATCCACCGCCCGCTGGGGCACCAGGACGTCGGTTCCCAGGCGGTGGATGTGGATAAATCCCCGCCTCGCACCTGCCCCCCCTGCCTCCCCCGCGCTCCTTCCTCCCCTCCCTCCCTCCCTCCCCTCAGGGGAGCGAGCAGTGACATAAAGCACAGAAGCTCGGAGGTCCGCACGGATTTCTCGGATCCGCGCCGGACCCCCTCCCTGGCGGCGCGGAGCGCGCCAGGGGCGGCGCCGGAGGCGCCGCCAGGGAGCACCAGCGCGGATCCGAGAAATCCGCGCGGACCTCCGAGTTTTTATATTCATGTCACTGTTCGCTCCCCTGAGGGGAGGGAGGGAGGGGAGGAAGGAGCGCGGGGGAGGCAGGGGGGGGCAGGTGCGAGGCGGGGATTCATCCATGGATGGCGAGGTGCGAGGCGAGGCAGTTTTTAGGGTCGAGGCGAGGCGGGCGGGGCAGGCGCGAGGCGAGGCAGTTTTTACGTTTGTGTCACTCTTCGTTCCCGTCTTGGAGTCGTTCGGTTCGAGACGTCGCTGACCGCTGCAGGTGCCCAGAGCGCGACAGACGGGGCGAGGCGCCGCAAGGGGCTGCCGTGCAGTGCCTCGGCTTGTGGGGCGCCTCGTGGCTGCCATGGCCTACCACCCCGCAGCCGAGTCGTGCCGTCCGCTCTCGCCTTCTCCTTCGAAAGCATCTTGGCATCGCTGGGGCGTGCGCATTTCTTCTCGGCGAGAACCATCGAGGACCATCCTGGACCATCGGGCCAAAAAAACACGCACGAAGCCGAAAGATGCACGGGAAATGAACGTCCGAGCGACGGCAAGGCAAGAGAGCTGGGGCTGCCGAGTGTGGGGGCACGGTGGATGGACAGCATCGTGCATCGCCCGCACGACCGGGTGCCAGCGCAGTCTTCAACGCGCCCCCATGCTCCCGACTCAATTTTGGTTGGCATCGCCAGCCAGGTGCAGGATTTCGGCCAGTCGACAGAGCGACACATCGCGGCGCAGCCCGCCTATATTAAGTTGGGGGCGGGTGCGGTTTTCACGTAAGTCAGCCTAAACGGTGCAGGATTATGTTCATCAGCCGCAGCGCAGGTGCCCAGGATGTTCGACCCGACATCGGGGGCGCGTCCCCCTGCAGCTTGTTCTTCTCGAGCGCCCGACTTATCCTGGCCTCGCTTTCGCCGCCCCGCGGGATGTCCGCCACTCTGCTCGGAGGTGCCGCCCAGACCAAGGTAGTGGTGGTCAGGCCCAAGAGAGGAAAAAAACACCCCGACCACCCTAATTGGCGTTCACTAAGCGGCCCTGGGCGTTTACTAAGCAGCCCTGCCCTGTTCGATTCTTTCCTTGGGTGCGTCTACTGGACGGCGTTGCCTGCCGGGGTGCGTATCGTGGGAGTGTTTTTGTTGCTCTCTGCAGGCAGCTCCACGAGGGCTGGGACGAGTACCCGGCGCCCGCTGGAAAGGCAGGGCAGGTGAAGTTCAGCTGGGAGAGCGCCGAGCCCGCCGATGCCCCACACATCCACCGCCTGCGGTCGGACCTGGCGAACACCTACTACTGGACCGGCGCCCCCGTCAAGGATGCGGGACGGGAAAATGACCACAGCCACTGCTTCTTGTTTGCGCCGCCTTCCAGCCGGCCGAAAGAGAAGCAGTGGCTGTGGTCATTTCCCTGGTGCCAAGCTCAACGAAAATGACCACAGCCACTGCTTTGTTTCTGCGGGCTGGAAGGCGGCAACAAAAGAAAAGCGGTGGCTGTGGTCGTTTTCACGCCCCGTAAAGGACTACCTCTTCTTCGTGGCCAATTGGCACCCGCTGCTTGGCATGTTTCTGAGCCATCCCAACCACCCCTGGTCGAAGAGGGAGCGCGTCTTGATGTTCCTGATCTCTCTGGCGCTGACACTGGTGCCATCCGCGCTGTTCGCGGCCTTCTTGCACGACGGAGGGGTGGGGCAGGTGCTGGAGGTGCTGCTGACCCTGGTCTTCGTGACGTTGCCAGATACGATCATCGGGCTGGCACTCTACCAGCTCTCTGTCGCAGACACGAAGTGCCCATCCTGTGCGACGTGCATCAGTGGCCTGGAGGGTTGCCTGGCGACCATCGTTCTCGTCATCGGAGCACTCTCGACCATTCTCTCCTCAATAATCCTCGGCGCCGTGGGTGCGAACTGGCTCGACCTGCTCCAGCCTCTGATCATGGGCAAGTTGTACAGCTACGCTACTTGGTTCCCGATCTTCCTGCTCCTGCCGTGCATCGGCTTTGCCCTGGTCTGGCGCGGGGAGCGCAACGCGCTCATGACAAGCAACGGCGGGACCGATGAGCAGACCCTGCTAGCTGCTTGAGGAACACTTGAGCTGCCGGAGAGCAGCTCAAATTAATAAAAGCTCCGCAACTGCGTGCCCAGGATGCAAAGCCTTCCCTGGCGGCGGTCTAGGAGACGCGTGCAGATTCTAGAGAGACTCGCGCGTGGACGGCGTTGGCGAGAAGAGCATCGCCGAACAAAAATACACCGGCAGAGAGTCCTACACACCAACGCTGCATGAGAAATCACATAGTGCGTCAGTATCGACATGCGCGTGCACGGCACGGCACGCGGGCACTGCACGGGCACGGCACGGCAAGCCACGGAACGCGGCCGCATTTGGTTTTGGTTTCGAAATTGGTTTTGGCTCACGAGCGTTCGTTTGGCCCAAGTAGATTCAGGACATCATTGTAGAACCGACCCTGTGCAACTGCAGTATTGTATCGCCCCGGGGCGGGCGCTGCCGATCGCTTATTTACAGCCGTTTACTTTCACATCCTTTTCCCATCACCACGCATTCGACAATCTTAGTTCTGGGTGCTCGTTCTCAGAACCCCAGTGATGCCTGGGACGCATTCGCGAGAGGCGGGAACGCCGGCGAAGCAGGTGTTCAAGCAGCACCGGATCCACAGCCCATTACAGGAGATGGACGGGCTGGGCGGCGATGCTGAAGCACGCCCGAACGAAGCTGGTGGCGTTCGACAGGCAGCCGGGAGCGCGGGCGACGGCCTGCCGGCATCGGGAGCCCCGTCTGGCAGCCGGACTTCTCGAATGCCGGGGGGCTCACAGTCGGAGGATTCATGTAAATAGGTCGTGCATATTTTCAACCCATTCAGGCCGACTTTCGAGAGATCAAGCAATATGTACGGGGTGTCCCATGCAGATTTGAAGAACACGGTTGGTCCAATCAAACGCGAGGTTGCTGCACTGAGCGCTTGTATGGGGGTACTTGAAGAGAAAAGCTCAGGATTACCATCGGCGCGATCCAGGCAGAGTAACACGAGAGACATTGAAACCAAACCATTGGAATTGGAACACAAACTTACGGACATTACGCACCGTCACCTTTCTCAAGCGACAGTTCGACATATTGAAAACACCACAATACGTTGACATCTTCAGTGAAAGGCGATTACAACAACATTGTTTTCATCAAGTTCGGGACTGTTGTATCCAGGGATCAATGTGTCAGTATTTTTGGCAAGTCGCTGATCAAACATCACGGGAATGCAGTATGGGTGCGCTCCGACCTGCCTGTTGAGAAACGCGTGCCGGAATATCTTGTTTCTTTTGTCCGAGGAGGATTTTCTTGGAGTGGAATTACACCAAAGCGGAAGTCCGCGTAGACACGCACTTTCAAGTCTTCAAAGGTCAAAGCTGAACCAAACAAACGTACACGCCGTGGTCGCTAATGACCGCCTGCTGTTTTCATGGTACGGCGCGTGGGGCACATGATGCGACCTGGTCAACAGCCAGAATGATTAGCACTTCGTTTCCAGGGCCGACGAGACGCTCAGCCGGGTTGTGAAAATGGAAAGAGGGGAACATCAGGAAACACGGCGCAAAGGGCATTACAATTTCCCCCGAAGTTGGCAAGCGGATCGTATTCCCATGTTTCCCGGTTGTGTGCGGCAGGATCGCTTCGTGGAGCGTCGAAGGCATCGCCCCAGAGCTGCCGAACAAAATGTACGAATTCACCAGGCACATGCGGGACTACGACGTCGAAGTGCTTTGTCTCCAGGAGACGCACTGTCGTGGGTCACCCGTCTTCGAATTCGAAAATTTATTGTGCAGATTTTCTTCTCTGGACACGAGAACGCAAATAGGAAGTATGCAGGCATTGGCTTCATTGTGGCGCCGTGGGCTACGCTTGCGATCGAAGGATACGTCCAAAAAAGTAGTCGCATGGCAAGTTTACGGATGCGAGTTACAGGTGGGAGGGGCACTCGCGCTGCTTCTTGCTTACGCCTGGACGAAAAAGCGTCGTTTCGATGTTCGTCGCGCTTGCTAGACAAATCGCGCTGCATTTGCTTCGGCGTGCCGGTCGCGCGGGCCCGCAATCATCTGAGGCGAATTCAACGCGCGTTTTTTCGGACAGGCGCGTTGGAGAAGAAACCACTCTGGGAGAACATGTATCCATCATCCTGCGTCGGCATGGGCGCCAACATCGAATATAACATGTTTTATATGATTAGGCCACCCGTTCGAAGCATGTGTCGCACATGCATTTTTCCAAGATAAGCAATGAGCATACCTAGGCATACTATGACCTTGTATCCAAACTGTTTGAACGTATTGTGCCGGGAGATTTCTCACGGTTGGATCATGTGGCCGCGCCTCAACGCTGGTTGTCGGTGTTGCTGCAGTCTGGAAGGACCGGCGACGACACTTGCAATCGCATCCCTTCCTTCGGGCTTTTGATTTGGAAAATGACATTCTCAAGAAAGGCCGCGCGCGTCGCGAACCCAAATTGAAAGTCAGCGCGTCGAGGGGGCCCGGCACCATTCAGAAAGAAGTGCGCGCAGCCCTTTGCGCGCAATGACAATGTGGAAGAAGCGACCCAATCACGAGCCGTCGAGCGAGACAGCCGCGGCAGTTTCACACGGCATGCTGGAATCTGCAGCCGCTAAGCAGGCGCTTGCTGAGTTCAGCACGGCACTCCTTGCAGCTATGCTCGAGTCTTTTTCGGGCAGCGCTCCGACAGCAGCGACGATGGCACGACAGCTTCGGAGACGGAGATGATGTGTGCCATGTACCCGTTGCTCAGTTGTTCGGCCACAGCGCCCACCTATTGCGGGCTCGACGTCCTGTTGCCTTCTATGGAGCTGCCGAACGTGACCACCGACGAGCTGGCCTCGATGGATGGGACGTGCTCGAGCACCGACGTCGAACCAGCTGCCGACAACTCGAGCACCGACGTCGAACCAGCTGCCGACAGCTCTCGTCTCATCAGTCCGTGGTGGCTCTCAGCGGCCGTCCTGCCACTGGCGGCAGCACTTCGGTCCGAGTGAGCTCGTTGCTTCGGTCTGGTGCGCTGGCGGGCCCCGCGTCGTGCCCACGGGCTGAGAAGTCCACGTGCGTCGCACGTCGAGAGGTAGGCGCGAGAATCGCAAGGAGGATACGATTTTGAATTGAGCACTGCGGCATCAATTTCTTCTCCTCCTCCCTCCTCCTCCTGCCTCCCCCCCCTCCTGCTTCACGACCCCCTGCCACCCCGTCACATGCGCATCGACAATCACATACATATAATTGAACACATGTATCTACAAATTCAAATACGCATACTTGTACATATCATATACACATGCACATGTGTATGCCAAAAACGTATACGTAGACATGCAACATTGCATTGGCGTTTCGCGCCATGCACCTTGGTCCTTGGAGTTCGGCATGCAGGCGGAAGGGCCAGACGGTAAAGCAGACCATTCAGCGATTATTGTTTCTTGCCTTTTTTCCGACATCGCCTTTACAATAATGTTTTTCGTGTTCCTCCCCTCATGTTTCCTGTTCCTCTTCCTCGTCCTCGCCCTGCCCTGCAAATGATTTCTCATCCTCTTCGGCTCTTTTTGCGGAGGCTCCTCCTTGGAGAGCCTCTTAGGGGCCCCGCGACAGTTTTTTGGGGCTTCTTGGGGCCTTCTGGAGGCCTCTTGGGCGCCTTCTGGGGGGGCCTCTAGGGGCTTCCTCGGGCCACCCTGCTTCCAACCGCGGTCTCCCTGAACGATTGGGTCACGATTTGGAATGCTTCGGGGGCGTCTTGGAACCATCTTGGGCCGTCATGGGGCTCCTCCTGGACTGCCTGGAAGCCCTTTCGGAGAGCCTTGGGGCGATCTTCGGGCCTCCTGGGGGGGTCTCGGACGCCCATAAGGCCGAAGAACGGAGCACTCCCGACGTCATACGAAAACCATGGGACATCGATGTCTCTTCTGCGTCTCGAGCGCCTCTTTTGGGGGGCCCTTCTCTGGGTCGGCCTCGGGCGTCCGGCGGGCGCCGGGGGCCTCTCGCGGGACCCTCGAAGGGGCCGCTCGGCCGCCCTCCCGACCGATCTTGGGGGGTCCGGGGGCCTCCGTTTTCCGAGGGGGGCGGCCCCGCCTCCCCCCCCCCGGGCCTGTAGAGAGGTGTGGGCGGGCGCGGGCGCCGACGGGCCGCCAGAGAGTGTCTCCGTGCGCGCCCGGCTGCCGAGAGGCAGCGCCGTGTGCGCGCGAGGGGGAGGGAGGGAGGCAGGAGGGCCGTGGAGCATCCTCCGGCCCCCCTCCTCCTCCTCCTCCTCCTCCCTCATTCTCCTCCTCCTCTTCCTCCTCCTCCTCCTCTTCCTCCTCCTCTTCTTCCTCCTCCCCGCCTCGCGCAGAGAAGAGAACGGTGATCGGGAGGAGTGGGAGAAGGGGGGAGGGGCAGGAGCGGAGGTGGGGGCGGGGAGGAGGAGTTTCTCCGTGCGCCCGGCTGCCGAGAGGAAGCGCCGTGCGCGCGCGAGGAGAGGGGGACGGGAGGGCCGTGGAGCAGAGTGCGCCCGGGAGGGGTGATCGGGAGGAGCACAGTCGGGTCGCTGAAGAAGGAACCCTTTTCGTCGGCGAGGGGCTCCGTGCTCCTGAAAGTGTTGTGCAGCTTGCCTCGGGTTTTCCTGATGTCTTCGATTGGAAGTCGAAGTTTCACTTACGGAACAAAAAGGGGCGTCGTTCCTTACTTAGGGTTCCTTAGGTCAACGCCCCGACTGTATGAGCAGGGGGGAAGGGCAGGAGCAGAGGTGGGGAGGAGGAGGAGGAGGAGGAGGAGGAGGAGGAGGAGGAGGAGGAGCCGCTCGCTGCCCACCGCTCGCATTTGATTCGAAGGTGGTGCAGTCCGTCCGGGACAACCGCGTGACCATCCTCTCCGGGGAGACGGGCAGCGGCAAGACCACGCAGGCTCACGACTGCGTTGCGCACTCCTCTCGGCTTAGAGTTCAGCGATTAGGGTGTAGGGCAAGGTTTAGGCTTTAGGGTTTAGGGTAGGGTTCAGCGTTAGGGTTTCGGCTTTCGGGTTTCGGGTTTCGGGTTTCGCGTTTTGGATGTTGTCGTGTGTGCTCCTGTTTGTTGTTGGAGCAGAGTCCCGGCCACCAACTGCACCCTGCTGCTGTCCGATCGGTCTACCGGCAAGCGACGATGGAAGGCGCTCGTTGTCGTTTTACTCGCCTCGTCCATTTGGCCCTTTTCAGGCAGTGGTCCCTCGGAGCCGCAGGAGGCAAGATTGACGGGGAAACCCGCGCAACGGAACTGTTGGAGGTGCACCTATGCGTTGGAAGGCGCATGGAGCCAAGGACGGGGAGCGCGATCCACACGGGTGGCAGGCATCACCCAAAAGCTGCAACACAGAAGTTCTCCAGATGGTCGACAGTAATCGGTATTGTATGGGTGGATGTCCAGAGAGGGTACAGTAGCTCACGAAGGCTTGTGCGCGACACCTGGCTGTGGATGAGCGTGGGGCATGCGCCACGAGGTGCCCCAGTTCATCATCGACTCCCCCGGCTTAGTTCCCGAAGGCATGTGCGTGGTGGTCACTCAGCCACGACGCATCGCCTGCATGACGATAGCGGAGCGGGTGGCCAAGGACGTGTTTCTGCCTCTGCGCCTCTGATGCTGGTTGTGCTCCCGTCTCTACTGTGGCTGCTAGTCATTATTCTGCTCCTCTCCTCTCCCTCCCCCTTCCTGCCTCGTTCCTCGCCCCTCTCTCGCCCTCCCCTCCCTTCATCTTAGCAGCTATGGCTTAAATTGACTCTTGGTTGAGTGGGGCGGGGGACCTGGTTTCGGGCAGACTCTCTCGCCCAGTCTCCCAGACTCCCCCAGTCATGTTGAGTCATTGTGCTATCGCCTTGTCTCGATCGCTCGGGCTAGTTTTCCTCCCCACGACCAGGTAGAATACCTCACAGGCTTCTACTCCATATCTTCACGCAGAGAGCTGTCCTTGCCTCTGCATCCTAAGCAGAGTATGCTTGGGATCTTCCTGGGGGCGGCGGAGGCGACTCGAGGCCACTGCAAACCGAACGCAGCACTCCTCCGCCCAACGCCCTGATCATCCGAAGGATGGTCTTATAGGTCTGAGTTTTCAGACATTGCTCTCTGAGTATACAGCTGTTGCCAGGGGTAAGGTTCGCAACGGTCCTGTCGCCACTGGGCCCCGTTCACGAGGCAACGCCTTCTCCGGCTCAGCCTGGGGCCTGCCATGGCAGGTCGCTGGGCCTCGCCGCCGAAGAATAATAACAAGAAGAAGAAGAAGAAGAAGAAGAAAAAGAAGAAGAAAGTATGAGGAGCAGGAAACAGACGGGGGAGGCGGAGGAAGTGCAGGCGGAGTAGGAGACAGAGGATCACCTGCAGGAGGATCCGAGTCCCTGCAGTTTCCCACCCCTGATGACGGACGATTTGGGGCGCTCGGTCGCCGCGACTCTCTGGCAGTGCGCCGCGGGGGGAGGCCCCGACCCGCGCTCTGGCCCCCCGAGGCCAGGCAGGTGGTCGCCGCACGCGTGCGTCTGCGCAGCGCCTTCCACGGAACCGGCGCCCGCCGGTTGGGTGGCTCCTGGATTACTGGCGCACCGATTGGTCAAAAGGCTGCTGGCCGAAGAACCCCAGAACGGCATGCACATAATTTCCCCTCATTTCCCGCAGCGCCGCGCGGAGATTTCTCGGATCGGCGTCGGACCCTCCCTCCCTGTCGCGCGGAGCGCCGATCCAGGAATCCGCGCGGAGATCTCTTGGATCGGCGTTGGACCCTCCCTCCCTGTCGCGCGGAGCGCCGATCCAGGAGATCCGCGCGGAGATCTCTTGGATCGGCGTTGGACCCTCCCTTCCTGTCGCGCGGAGCGCCGATCCAGGAAATCCGCGCGGACTCCGAGAAGTTCTGTTTTATGCCGTTTTTTGCATCCCGCCAGGGAGCGCACCGCACCACGTGGCGGCGCGCCCCGCGGGGAAGGCGGCGGGCGGCGGGCTCTCTCGGCAGGCTCGCGAGGCCCCTGGCCTTCTGAGAAGCTTTCCGTACGGGGCCCAACCATTTCCAGGAGGGGAAAAAACGCACAGACACGAGTAATCGTCGGTTCCCAGGAAAATATTGGAAAACATGGGAAGTGGGGGGGGAGAAGACGAAAACCCAGAATACATGCGAAAACATTGGGAATCCTGTTATTTGTGTGTATTCATCTGTGTGCCCCAGGGCCCCTTTGCATCTACGCCACCACCACCGCCTCCCTCGCCCCCGCCCCCCTTGCCAGGAAAGAGAGGAGAGGACGAGGCAGGCTGGAGGAGGGAGGGAGGAGGCATCGACGTGGTGGTGCTGGTACCTCTTCTCGGGGCCCGCCCGCCGAGCCCTCGCCGGAGCCCCGGCGCGCCTCCTGCGAGGGCCTGCCGCCAGGAATTCTGCCCTCAGTCACCGTGTCGCCCCGCCGGGCCCGGCCCGCCCGCGCTTCGGCCGCGCGACGCGCCGTCCACGTCCCGTCCCTTCCCGTGCCTCCCCGGGCCTCCCCGAGCCTCCCCGAGCCTCCCCGAGCCTTCGCGAGCCTCCCGGCCTCCGGGCGTCGAACGTCCCGTCCCTTCCCGTGCCTCCCCGAGCCTCCCCGAGCCTTCCCGAGCCTCCCCGAGCCTTCCCGAGCCTTCCCGGCCTCCGGGCGTCCAACGTCCCGTGCCTTCCCGAGCCCCCCGCCCCGCGGCGCGGGGCGGCGCGCAGCGTCCGTCCGCTCCCGCAGGGCACATTGGCGCGTCGCCGGGGCCGCCGCCGCGCTGCGCTCTGCAGGGGCTGCTGGCCGCACCCCCTCTCACCTCCTGCCCCCCCCCCCTCGGCGCGCCACCCCAGATTGGGGGGCGGGAGAGGCCAGGGGCCGGTCTGGAGCGGGCGGGGCGCCTCCGAGGAGCGCGGGCAGACGGTGGGCGAGGACGTGGGCTACCAGATCCGCTTCGTCAACAGCACCTCGCCCGAGACGAAGGCGTGGCGGCCCGTCGTCGCTTCCCGCTCTCCGTCCCTCCTCTTCCTCCCCTCCTCTTCCTCTCCTCCTCCTCCTCCTCCTCCTCCTCCTCCTCCTCCTCCTCCTCCTCCTCCTCCTCCTCCTCCCTCCTCTTCCGCTTTTCGCTTCTCGGCCTCCTCCTCCTCCTCCTCTCCCCGGTGCCCTCGCCGTGCTCCGCCCCTGTTGCAGCAGCGGCATACGAGCCAGCAGTGGCTTGGCTGGCCACACTTCGCTGCGAGTTCGTTCCTCGGGGGGGGGAAGTATGTAGGCGAAGCGGGGCAGCCTGCAAATCCTGCAGCCTGGGGGAGCGGCGCTGTGGAGCCGCGCTCTTCTCTGGGGCTCGGGCTTCTGCCGCTCCCGTGTTGGACGAGTCAGTGCCCCCCCAGGTGTTCGATACGCATCCCCGAGGCCCGTCCCGGCCCCCCACGGCGCACCAAACTCACCTTAGAACGCGATCCCCCCCAAAAAAGAACGCCATCCACCCTCCCACGTCTCGCGAAGGACGGCCCATTCTTACCCCCACGCGATCCCCCACCCACGCTTATCGAGCAACTCGGAGTAAAGTCATGGAGGTATGGCCGCATACTTTACAGTTCATGCTCTGCTGCAGCCTGTTTTTGGAGTAGTCTCATTGTGCCAGGAAGCGTGGACCGTTCCCCTGGACATTTAAAATGTGAGGAGCTTGCACATCATCATAATGGCCATTGAGAGCAGACACTGCAGATGCCTCCTTGTGACGACCTTGGGGCGTGTGGAAGACATTTTGCAGGCTATACTGACCCAGCTTTGGCTATCTGGTGTCATCGCAAAGGCAATCTCAGTGTATCTGGGGCCATCTTGGAACTATCGTGGCCTAAAAGCCTCCAGACCATGCCCCCGAGATGCCAGACTCTGTCAAGCACATGCGTTGCTTTAAACGGCTTGGGGTGTGAAAGAAAGGGGGGTACTTGTAAATGCTGCCCCCTCTCGGTGGCCCCAAATATTCCCTCTTGGGGCCCTCTTGGGCCGCTCTTGGGCCACTCCTGGAGGCCTTTGGGGCCATCTCGGAGCCCTTCTGGGCCCTTTTTGGGGTTCTCTTGGATGATCCTGGAGCCATCTTGAAGTCTCAAGAGCCCATCAGAAGCGAAAGGGCACTATAAGCTTTACAAAGCATAGGTCATTGAAGTATTTAGGCATCTAGGGGTATCTTTGGGATGCTCTGTGGCCACTTGGCGTCTTGTTGGGGCCGTCTTGGGACCTCTGGGAGGCATGCTGGAAGCAATATTAAGCCATCTTGGCCTATCCGGTGTCATCTTGACTGCCAGGCTTGAGCTATGTGCCACATTGATTGTTTTTCATCGCCGCGCAGAATATGCCTCTAAAACTGACTTACCGCTCAGGCGCGGCGCATTTGTTCCGTTCGCTGCCTCGTCGCTTGCCAACTCAGCATATCGAATGGCCTTCGGCCATCCCGCCACCGTGCCTGGGTTGCGGGTCGTCGGCCTCTAGGTTGTTCGCTGGGATGTTTGCCTCTTGGGGCCCTCTTGGGAGGCCTCTTGGAGGCCTCTTGGGGGCCTCTTGGGGGCCTCGTGGGGGGCCTCTTGGGGGCCTCCTGGGGGCTTCTCGGGGCCGCTGGCTCGAAATGTCCGTTGGGGGACCTCTGGGCCCCCTGGTGGGAGCCGTTTTGGAGGCCTATGGGGCCTTCTTGGAAGCCTTTTGAAGCGTCTTGGGGCCCTCTTGGGCTGTCTTGGGGCCGTTGGCCGTCTTGGAGGCCTCTTGGGCCGTCTTCGGGCGATCTTGGGGGCCTCTTGGGCCGTCTTGGAGCGTCGGGAAGCCGAACACGCGAGTGCACCCCAAACCTTCAAGAACCAATGGAAAAGCTATGATGTTTGCCTCTTGGGGCCCTCTTTGGAGGCCTCTTGGGGCGTCTCGGAGGCCTCTTGGGCCGTGTGGGGGCCATCGTGGGCCGTCTAGAGGCTCTCCTTGACCGTCTTTGGCGCTCGGTGGGGAGCTCCGCGAAAGTCTGCGGGTCGTTTGGGGCGTTGCAGCCATCTCGGAGGTCATGTGGAACACCCCAGGAGCGCCAAGATCCCCCCCCGGGAAATTGATGGTCCGTGCCCTTAAGATAAGAAACTTAAAATGCTGGCTGCGGCAGCAGCGCGGCTGTGAGCACGAGCCTGGCTGCAGCAGCAGCAGCAGCACAGCTGCGAGCCTGGGGTCTCTCCGCTGCGTGCCTGAAGTACGGCGGCGGATATTCTTGTCTGATATGCTTACAAGCCGGGGAGGTGGGACCCCCCCAAAACGGACCCCCCCTGATCCGTGGCCCAGGGGGCCCCCTGGACGCCCCTCCAGAAGGCCTCCCTGGCTTTCCAGAGCTCCTGGAAGCTCCTGCTGGGCAGAGGCAAGACCCCAAATCGGTCAGAAGGGCGGCCGAAAGGCCCTCCGAAGGCCCCAAGAGGCCCCAGACACCCAACAGACGCCTGAGGACGACACCAATAAAAGACCCCCAATGGTTTCTGTATGATTGCGGGAATGCTATGTTCTTCGGTCTTCTGGGCGTCCGAGACCGCCTAGGAGGTCCGAAAATCGCCCCCGAACTAACCGAAAGAGCTTCCAGGCAGTCCAAGAGAGCCCCAAGACGGCCCCAAGATGGCCCCCAGATGGCCTGGGCAGAGTCCCATGACGGCCCAAGATGGTCCCAAGACGCCCCCGAAGCATTCCAAACCGTGACCCAGTCGTTCAGGGAGCCCGCGGTTGGAAGCAGGGTGGCCCGAGGGAGTCCCCAGAGGACCCCAGGTGGCGCCCAGGAGGCCTCCAGAAGGCCCCAAGAAGCCCCTGCAAGCTCTGGTGAGCTCCCCAAGAGGCTTTCCCCAAGGAGCAGCCTCCGCGAAACAAGCGGGGGAGGATGGGAAAACATCGCAGGGTAGGGTGACAATGAAGGAGAGGAAGATGAAACAGGAAGCAGATAACGAACAACCTTACTGTAACGACTCTTGCGAAAAAGGCAGCAAGGAGTCATCGCCATGTTCCTGTTTTACCTTCTTGTCCTTCCGCCTGCACACTAAGAAACAGTGACCAAGGTGCATGGCGCGAAGCGGAAATGCAGTCATGTGTGTATGTTTGTATATGTGTGTATGGACTGTATGTACGTATGTACATGCGGTTTCGCGGTTCTTCCCTCTGTGTGGGGGTTCGGGCCTGGGGGAGTTTTAAGCAGATTCCGTTGTGTAATGTCGCGGTTGCATGTGGAGTTCGGGCCCAGGGTGGTCGGCGACGGCGAAGCGGGGTATTTCCAGACATTCCCTGGACATATGTTTTGTTCTGTTTTGGGTGCGTGCTCGTGGGTTGAAGGTTTCGTTTGACTTTGGAAGCGATTGCGGGCGTTTTCGGGTAAGAGAACGGAGGGACTTTTCAAGTGGATGGCGGCGTCGGGTTCAGGCTCGTATTTCGCGGTCCGACGGTCTTCAAGTCAGAGATACATGTTAGAAGAATGCACGCATGCATGCGCGCGAGTTAAGCACGTCTACACGCATTGTCTACATTGGTATCTTGCCATGCTCATGCCACGTAGTACGTATAATGTGCGCAGAGTCCGCCGCCGTCGTTTTTATGTTGTCGCCTTGGCTTTTGCCCGCGGCCGCCACCAGTTTTTTGTTATAATTACATAGGGTCCGGGGCGTTGGCCGCGAGATTTGGGGACACTCTCTGCATAGTGTTGTATTTGTTTGTTCGTCGCCACCGTGGGCTTTCTGGTGAATGCTTTTCCTGGAGTGTCGACCTGGTGGTCATGCATGTATGTTTGCAGTGCGCAGATACATGTATGCTTGTATGTCTGCATGCATAAACGCATGCGTGTATGTATGTGTATGCGTGCATGTATGTATGCATGGCTTCATGCATGTATGTATATATGTCTGCACGCACGCACGCACGCACGCACGCACGCACGCACGTATGCATGCATGTATGTATGTATGTATGTATGAATGTATGTATGTATGTATGTATGTATGTATGTATGTCTGCATGCATGCATGCATGCATGTATGCATGTATGCATGTATGCATGTATGCATGTATGCATGTATGCATGCATGCATGTATGCGTGTATGCGTGTACGCATGTATGCATGTATGCATGTATGCATGTATGCATGTATGCATGTATGCATGTATGCATGTATGCATGTATGCATGTATGCATGTATGCATGTATGCATGTATGTATGTATGTATGTATGTATGTATGTGTGTATGTATGTACGTATGCATGCATGCATGTATGTATGTATGTATGTATGTATGTATGTAGGTATGTATGTATGTATGTGTGTATATCCATGCCTGCATGTATACATGTATGTTTAGTGGTAGGAACGTAAACATATGTGTACGTATGAGTGTACGTAGGTATGTGGCTAGGTAGATATGTAGGCACGTACATAGGTAGGCATGTAGGTATGCGTGTATGTATGAATGCATGTTGTACGTGTGCGTGCTTGCATGCATGTCTGTATGTATGTATGGATGGATGCATGCATGTGTGTATGTGTGGACGTATGTAGTTATGCGTGTGGTGTATGTATGGTGACAGTATGTTGTGTGAGGCGAAAACATCAAGTCTCTATTATGGTGCGCAACGCGTCCCACGCACGTTACGCGTATGTTGCCATGCCGCCTCCAGCACGCACACAACACTACGCATACGTGTGCGTCACAAGCTTGACTCGAGAAGCGACGATTCTCCTGAAGCTCGATTGCCTGGTTGATGTTGTTGAAAAGCGTGTGTATGTGTGTGTGCGTTGGGCTTCTGAACGACAGGGCGCTTTGAACTCATGTTTTCGCAGTCGTCTATACAGACACCTACAAGTCTGTGTAGTCTTGCGACTCCAGTAATCCTTGGTGGACCCAAAAATGGCGCAGTTGACCCGGGAATCACGCTTCGAAGCGGGGAACAGACTGCATGGGCTGGGGGAGGAGTGCGCCGCACAGCCACTCCCCACATGGCAAGAACAGGGTGGAACGTAGACCTCCCTAAACCACCTGCGCCCAGAGGGCTGGTGTCTGCTGCAAGCTGATTGTAACGAGGTTGATGAGTTTCCAAGCTTGGGATTCACGCAGGCTGCCCTTAGCAAACGGCCTGTCGACTAGAACGGAGCATCTTGGCTTTACAATCACCGCGCATTGGGGATGATCGGGCGAAGTGGGTGGGAAATTCAGAGAAGGCCGTGGGCTGTGGCTGTAAAGGTCAGCGTGTAAAGGTCAGCGGCTTAAGAAGCGTCTTCGAGCATTTAGGAGTTGTTGGAGTCATGACCCTGCTTGAAAGGCGAACATCCGTTGAGCAAGACTGCCCCGGATGAATACAGCTACTCGGCGCGTGTCTTTCCAAATGTGGCGGGGCACCCAGTACAGTACATCTCCCCTCTCCCCTTTTGATTATCGTTCGTTTCGTCTCACTCTTCCTCTTCCCCCCTGATTCTGCACTCGAACGACCGCAGCCCCGACATCAATCGTCGGTTCAGTAGGTCGCCTGCCAGCGAAGGGCTTGGAACCATAACTTCTATGTGCATTCAGGATGTGTTGCCTTGGATGTGGTGCTTCACGGTCTACGCGGCTGTTTCTCAAGCCCCGCAGCGAGGAAGCACCTTTTTGGGAAGCACGACGAGGAGGATTGAGAGACGGAAGGAGAAGAGGGAGGAGGAAGAGGAGAGGAGGAGGAGGAGGAGGAGGAGGAGGAGGAGGAGGAGGAGGAGGAGGAGGAGAAGGATGAGAAGGGAGAAGGGAAGGAGGAGGAGCTGGAGGAGGAGGAGGAGGTGGAGGAGGAAGGTAGGAGGAGGAGGGGAGGAGGAGGAGGAGGAGGAGGAGAAGGAGGAGGAGGGTGGAGGAGGAGGAGGAGGAGGAGCGAGGAGGAGGAGGAGGGGGAGGAGCAGGAGGAGGAGGAAGAGGAAGAGAGAGGAGGAGGAGGAGGAGGAGGAGGAGGAGGGGAGGAGGAGGAGCTCGTCCTGGGCTCTTCCTCGATCGGCATCGTCGCTTCGGGGGCCGCCCCGCCGCCCGCCGCGCACACGCCCCTCCCCCGGGCACGCCCCCATTCTCAAGGGGCTCCCGCTCAGGGTACGGGGGGGGGGGGCCGCGGCGGCGGCGGTGGCGGCCTCTCGGCGCCGCAGCCCGCGGCTGGGCGGCGCGCCTGCCGGGCGCTGCGGTCTCCGCCCTGGCTCCGCCCCATCGCGAGGCGGCGCGGGGTCCTCGTCCTCCTCCTCCTCCTCCTCCTCCTCCTCCTCCTCCTCCTCCTCCTCCTCTCCTCCTCCTCCTCCTCCTCCTCCTCCTCCTCCCCCTCCCCCTCTCGCGGCGCAGTCTCCTCCGTGGCTCCGCCCCTCGAGGCGGTGCTGGTCCTCCTCGCAGCTGCTTCACCTCTCGCGCTTCTCGCACGCGCCTCATCGGGGCGCGTCGCTTGCCCCGCGTGCCCCTCGGGACCATCTGCGCGGAGTCTGGCCCGAGAGGCCACGTGGGCCTGCCGTTCGAGCCCAGCAGGGTGAAGGGGCTGAACTTCCTGCTGCGCGTGATGACGTACTTCTGGCATCTGGTCTCGATCTTCTGCTGGTCCTCCCTTGGGAGGGGCCCCCACTCTCCAGGGATGTCCTGCGCCCCCCATTGGCTACCTTTCTCCACGTTGTAGCTGTCGACGTCGGGCATCGGTTTCGCCTCATCCTCCTGCTCTCGTTGGCACCTGCTCGGGCCCAGCCACGTGCGGGAGATCTCGGCTCGCGCTCGCCACATCGCCGTGCCTGTGCATGCCCTACTTGCCGCACTATAGCTGCTCGTGCAGGCCTCGGAAAAAATAGCGAACACTCATGCCACATTCATCTGTGACGCCCCCCCTCCCCCCAATGTTCAAAGTTGGCGGTGGGTCTGATGAGTTGCACCTCGACCGCAGTCTCCCCCGCGCGTGCCAACTTTGAGTTTGGGGGGCAGGGGGGGTGTTCACTAATTGTTTCCCTCTACCGTGTCAGGCTCCGTCTTCGCCTCACACTTCTCGCACGCTCTGTCTCCAGGGTCCCCGCTGGTGCCACCACCGCGGATTCCTGCGCTGTAGCTGGTCGCGTTGGGCGCCTTCTTCGCCTCCGCAGCCGAACCGCTTTCCGATCTCGCAGGTCCAGCCGTGGCGACGAGGGGACCCGAGGAGTAAACGCTCGTGATAGTGGGATCCAGCTTGGCCTCCACCACCTGGTTGCCCTGATCACATCACTGTACTTGGTCACGTTTGGCTCCGTCTTTCCCTTCTTGCTCTGGCTGGGACAGATAATGGGATACAGCTTCGCCGTCTCCTTCTCGCACGTACTGGTCCCCGCACTGTAGCTGATCGCGTCGGGCCCACTGCTCGCCTTCCACTGATCGCCCGCGCAGGTCCTAGAGTCGTGGTTAGGAATAACGGGCTCTAGCTTCGCCGTTCTCTTCTCGCACGTCCTGATCGCAGCGCTGTAGATGGTCGTGCTAGGCTCCGTCTTCGCCTTCGACCTCTCACACACGTTGTGATCAGGGCACTGGCTAGGATAGGTAACGAGCTCTGGCTTCTCCTTTCTCTTCTCGAACTCTCTGGCCGCAGCGCTGCAGCTGATCCTGCCGGGCTCTATCTTCGCCTTCCACTTCACGCTCGCGCTGTCCACCGTGTTGAGGTTTGAGATGGTGGGCTCCAGTTTTGCTTTCCCCTTCTCGCATTCCATGGTCCCAGCGCTGCAACAGATCGTGTCGGGCGCTATCTTCGCCTCCTATGTCGCGTACTCGCTGTTCCCAGGGTTGAGGCTCGCCCCGATCGCAGCGTTGCAGCTGGTCGTGTTGGGCTCTGTCTGCACCTCCCACTTCTCGCAAGGGCTCGTCGCGGCGCAGTAGCTGTTCACATCTGGCTCTTCCAGGTATGCCTGCGTCCACTGCTCGCCACACCACGGTATTTCCGTCAGCTCGACCCTTGCGAGCATCAGGCCTCGGAAAAAATAGCGAACACTCATGCCACATTCACCTGTGAACGCCTCCCCCCCTCCCCCCACTGTTCAAAGTTGGCGGTGGGCCTGATGGGTTGCACCTCGACCGCCGTCTCCCCCGCGCGTGCCAACCTTGAGTTTGGGGGGCAGGGGGGGTGTTCACTAATTGTTTCCCTCTACCGGATCATGTCTCAAGGTAGGGAGGGAGTGAGCCCTCATCCCGAGGGCTACCATCCGCAGCCTTGTCGATCTCCTCGGCCCCGCGCCGCCTCTCCTGCTGCTTCTTGGGCCGCCTCTCCGCCTCGGGCTGTACCGACCCCAAGGATCGAACACCTCTACCGTTCCAGTCCGCCGCCAGTCCCTACCCGAAGGCGCCGGCCAGGCTGGGGAGCGCAGCCGGCGGAGGCGCGGGCGGCGCTGGCAGCCGCAGGGCCTCCGCGGCCTGCGGCCGAGCCCGCCGCGCCGCCGTCCGCCGCGGGCGCTCCCTGCCGCCGTGCAGCGCGCGCCGGCGGAGTCTCTGCCGCCGAGCTCGGCGTGTCGCTCGCGGCCTCGCTCGCGGCCTCGGGCGGTTCGGGCGGCGCGGCGCTGGGCGCAGGCCACGCTCGAGTCCGTTCGCGACGCCCTCGGCGCCTGGGGGCTTCCCTGCACGGGTCCATCCGCCCGCCGCGCCCGCCGCGGGCATGACGGCTGCGCGGGGCCTCGCTGGGGAGCCACCTGGAGGAGGAGGAGGAGGAGGAGGAGGAGGAGGAGGAGGAGGAGGGAGGAGGAGGAGGAGGAGGAGGAGGAGGAGGAGGATGAGGAGAAGAGGAGGCAGGATGAGGAGGAGGAGGGGGAGGAGGAGGAGAGGAGGAGGCAGGAGGGAGGAGAGCAGCAGGAGGGAGGAGGCGAGGAGGAGAGAGGAGGAGGAGGAGGAGGAGGAGGAGGAGGAGGGGAGGAGGAGGAGGAGGAGGAGGGAGGAGGAGGAGGGGAGGAGGAGGGAGGAGGGAGGAGGAGGAGGAGGAGGAGGAGGAGGAGGAGGAGGAGGAGGATGAGGAGGGGAGGAGGAGGAGGGAGGAGAGAGGAGGAAGGAGGAGGGGGAGGAAGAGCAGCAGCAGCAGCAACAGCAGCAGCAGTAGCAGCAGCAGCAGCAGCAGCAGCAACAGCAGTAGCAGTAGGGGGAGGAGAACAACAACGGAGGAGAAGGAGTGAGGACGAGCAGCGGGGAGGAACACGGAGCAGGGCGAGGGACAAGGGGAGATGGACGAGGGACAATGGGAGGTGACGAGGGGAAGGTGGGACGAGGGAAAAGGGGATGCGACGAGGGGACGAGGGACGAGGCGGAGGCGACAGGAGGAAGGGACGAGGGCAGCAGGGCGAGGGACAAGGGGATGGGGAAGGACGGTGCGGAAGGCGAGGGGGCGAGGGATAAGGGAAAGGGGAGAGGGAGGCGGAGAACACGAGCAGATGAAGGAGGAGACGGTGGAGGAGGAGCCCCCCCTGAGTTTCGGGCCCGAGCGTGCCCAGTTGATCTTCTGCACCACCGCTGTGATGCTTCGTAAGCTGCATAGCGACCCGCAGTTCGACGAGGCCCGTCGCTCGGACTTGTGGCAAGCCCTGCTGTCCTGAGAGACTTGGATTGAGACATGCACTGTCCAGGGCATACGTGCAACTAGCATGGATCGAATGAAAGTATTTCCCGCACATTGGATGTCGCTGCTTTCCACGTAGTTTCAGGGATATGATGGCCGTTTATAAACAGTTTCTGGTGGTGGAGCGCAAATTCCGGAAGGTCGGATGGGGGCGTACGGACGAGGAGGGACGAGAAGTATAAGGAGGACGAGGAGGAACAACAGGAATAAGTACATAAGGAGGAGGAGAAGGAGGAGGAGGAGGAGGAGGAGGAGGAGGAGGAGGATAAGGAAGTCGTAGAAGACGAAGAAAAAGAGGACGAGAAGGAGGAGGAGGTCGACGACTCCCGAAGGATGAAGGGCGGGAGTGTTCTCACCCGACCCCCACCACGGACATCCAAGGATGAGGCGGAGGAGGCGGAGGATGAGGAGAACCTCCCGAAGACCACTCGGATGTTGATAGGACGAGGCTCGCGACCCCCACAATGCCAAGCCGATTCGCAACTTGTCCTTTTCCGGTTCTCGGGAGGGCGCTTCGACCGCAGCTTTTTTGCGGGCCTGCGGCAGCCGTGTCGGTACCAGGTCGTTTTCACTGAATGGTGTCTTGGTGAAGGGTCGAGTGCCCCTGACAACTCGAGCGCCCGTTCGGATTGCCTGTGCCGTGCCGCGACGAAAAGTGTTTTGCTGATGAAGGGGGTTCTGTCCACCGCCAAGTCTTCTCTGCACAGGTGCGGGACAGCCGACTGAGATTTTCGGCGGACCTTGGGCAAGCGCCCCGCGCTGATGAGCGACGTTGTCTAAACGCGGTTGTCAGTGCACTCGGCGATGGAATAAAGGAGACAGCTAGGGGCGTGTGCCTAGCAGGCCCCAAGGGGCGGCGGAGGAGGCAGTGAGGGCAGGTGCGCGGGTACCAGTGGGCGTTTTCTGGACGGGCGGAGCGGGGTGGAATTTCGCTCCTGGCAGCAGATCCCCGTTTGAGGCAGCGCTGGCCGATGGCTCTGCCAGGGTGTCAGCCGGAGGCGGGGGGTCCGAGGAAGCCAGTGGCAGCGAGGCCCGGCCTACGCCCGAAGATTCTGGCACTTCCCACGAACGCGGCCACTGGTTCAAGGCAAGGTTTCAGGCCTAAGCGTGGTCGAGTCCCTGAGGGTTTGACGACTTTTCTCCAATCGACCTCGGGGGGGCGAAGCCAGATAAATCGAGGTAAAGCCAGGTAAATCGGGATTCATCCAGATAGGTCGGGGCTCATCCAGATAAATCGAGGTAAATCTACAGATGTCCAGGTGCCCAGCTGCCTGCGGCAAGTCCCGCCACCGTGCCAGTCCAGCATGCTGGGTGGCGGCTATTCGATGGGCACGGGAGGCCGTCACGTGTGACACTTCGGGCCTCTTGAAGGTTCTGGGGCCTCTTGAGGAGTTCTTGGGGGCCTCTTGAGGTTTCTTGGCAGCGCCTTGGGGGCGCCTCGGGGGCTCTTTGGGGCTCCTGGGGCCGTCTGAGGGCGCCCTGGGCCGTATGGGCGCTTTCAGAGTCCATCTTTGGGGGCTCTCTGGGTCGTCTTGGGGCTTTCTTGGGGACCTTGAGGGCCGTCTGGGCGCCCTTGTGGGCCGACTTGGGGGCCTCTTGGGCCGCTATTGGGCCATCTTAGCACCCTCTTGAGCCGTCTTGGGGCCCTCTTGGTGCCCTCGTGGCTATCTTAGAGGTTTCTCGCGCTGTCTTGAGCCGACGAAGCTCGAAAGGGCGAGAACGCGAACACCCTTCAAAAACCATAGGCTCATCAATGGTTTTCGGCCTCTTCGGGCTTTGCTGGAGGCTCTACAGGAGCCCTCTTGGACCGTCTTGGAGGCCTCCTGGGCCGTCTCGAGGCCATCTTGGTCCATCTGAGGCCGCCATGGCGGCCTCTTCGACCATCTTGGCGGCCTTGGTGGCCTGCCAGGTCCATCATGGAGGCCATTCTGAGCGTTGTGGACACCTTGGAGAGCGCCAGCGAGGCGGCCTGGCTTGTCCAGGGAGCCCCAGGAGTAGGGGTGGTGCACGCGAGGGGGCGCGATGAGAGGGGGGGGGGTCCATTAGAAGACTACAGAAACCGTGTCAGACAGCACTTGGCAATGTTTCCCCGCCTCGTGCCAAGCACGGTGGCGGAAATCGGAGGAAAGTGTTGAAGCTCCAGCGCGAAGCGAGGGATGGCAGAAATCGTCGGCCATCAGAGCTCGAAGCATCATGGAGCCCCTGTTGTGGTCTCATCTGGTTCCGGGAGTCGAGCACTCGCGGTCGGCATGCCCTGGCTTCTCCTGCCTGAGTCACAGCAGGCGTAGCTGTGATGTGCCAGCTCACAGGTTCCGAGCTCGCCAACTGAGGAGATCATCATCATCATCATCAGCATCATCATCATCATCGTCATCATCATGACCATCATCATCATAATCATCATCATCATAATCATCGTCATGAGCAGCATCATCAGCACCATCGTCACCATAATATTCATCATCATCCTCATCATCCTCATCATCATCGTCATCACCATCATCATCATCATCATCATCATCGTCGTCAAAATCATCATCAGCATCATCATCATCATCAGCAGCAGCAGCATCAGCATCAGCATCAGCATCAGCTCAGTATCATCATCATCAGC